AACATTATCCCAACATTGCCTGTTACAGCTACAATCTGTAACAGAATCACAACTAGAAGCACAGTGTTCACTTATCTTGGTATTTCCCACTGCCTGGCTCTTCCCAGCACAGAGACCTTCAAATGACTTTGTATGAATATGAATGAACAGTAATTCTATTTTAAAACTTCTTTCATTTCAACTGAGATGAGAAACACTTCACTTCCTTGCCGCCACTGACCTTTCTCCAGAAGCTATTAGCTGAATCCTTTCTTGCTCCCTGAGCATCCAGAGAATTTCCCGTTACATACTAAACCATAGCCTCCCATGTGACTGGCGTCTCCCATGACAATGAAGATGAATGATGACAAGATGCACCTTAGTCGGCTGCTGTCACTGTGACAAAGTATCACACGCTTTGTGGCTTACAAGCAGCAGAAATGTCTTTTTCAGAGTTCTAGAGGCTGAAGTGGAATCAGAGTCCTACAAGGTGGGTTCTAATTAGGTCCCTTCTCCAAACTGCTGAAGCTCATAACAAAAGCTGAAGGCAGAGTGTGGGTTCTGGAACCTCTAGCACAGGACAATGACCTAGTGAACACCATCACCTCCCAAAGGGGCCACCTCATAGATCCCGCACAATGGAGGGGAGGCTTACCATAGAAGAAGCAAAAGAATCCAGAACTATCTATATCCTCTACCCTGAATTGCCTGCCAAGACATGCCAATGAGGTTTTCAAAAGAATTAATTCCCTTTTTATCTTTGTAAGAAATCTCAAACCTGTGACCACTGGAAATGTAACTGCGGAGTCACACTCACCGATAGAGAACTTACTTTATAACAGTTAAAACACAAAACAAAGCCTTCAGATTCTGAATGCTTTTGTTATGAGCTTAAGGCAGACTAAAAGACACTGGCTTCTATGGGAGGAACTGTGAACAAGTATGATCAATAATCACAAGTAAAAAAAGAGTAGAATAGGACAGACTAGAATAAATCTAGCATGGATCAAATACCAGAAACCAGACCCATACAGTTGGCCACTGTTTAATAATACATGACTTAACCCTCATAATAAGCCCTGACGTGGGTATTAGCCACTCTGGGCAGGAGAAGCTCTGGGCAGATTATTAAGAGGTCAAGCTAACCCATATTTCAAATTCAAACAGGGGCTAGCCCTCTGACACTAAGCTCTTTCCACAAAATAGACTAGGAGTCCTGCATGTTTCTACCTGGGTGAGTGAGTTTTAGACTGAATGTCTAACTGGAAGAATAGGCATGCCTATAAATCCTAGCATTCAAGAAGCAGAGGCAGAAAGACAAACATAAATTTGAGACCAACGCAAGCTACATAGGAAGTTCCAGACCAACCAAGACTACATAACAGGACACAATAATATTAACAACAACATAATAGTCTAATTCAATCATACCATGACCTTATAAATGAGTAAGAAAGTTGCTAACAGGCAATTTCTTAAAAGCACAGGCCTCACTCAACAGTTTCACAAAATAATGTTATCAAATTTTTAAAGAATAAAACGTAGAGTAGAACATTTCCAATTATTTCCTACAAAATCAGCAGGACAATGATACTAAACCAAGATAGCACCCTCCACAGACATAAAGACCACCTAAAGGTAACTTACTTATCGACAGTATTAAGGCGATCTATGAGGCGTTGTGGTCAACTCTGTAATCTTATCTCCTCAGGTTAAGGAAGGAATATCTTGAGTTCAGGGCCAGCCTAAATAACCTAGTGGGACCCTATCTGAAATAAAAATTAAAGAGGTGTGGGGGGGCTGAAGAGGTGTTAGAGCAGTAAGAGTAGTTACTGCTCTAACAGGGACAGGAGTTTGGCTCTTAGCCCCATGTCAGGTGACTCACAACCTCCTATAATCCCAACTCCTGGTCTTTTGGCCTCTGTAGGCACCTGCACTCACACAACCCAACGCATGTACATAAATCAACTTTTAAAAATTAGGAGCCAGCAAGATGGGAAGATGGGTCAAAAGGTAAAGGTGCTTGCTGCCAAGCCTAAAGACCTCAATTCCTGGGACCCAACAGTGGAAGGAGAGAATCAAGTCCCACAAGCTGTTCTCTCACCTCCACATCTCCCAACACACACACACACACACACACACACACACACACACACACACACAGAGCCATTTTAAAAGGTAAATGTGTGAAGATAAGTTGCAGTGTAGAGCACTTGTGTAGCACATCCAAGATTATGGGTCCAGTCACTAGAACTGAAAAAAAAATAAATGGTAATAGTATCAATGTTCGTGGCATTTTCTTTTTTGGTTTGTCAAGACAAGGTTTCTCTGTATAGCTCTGGTTGTTCTGGAACTTCCAGGCTGGCCCAGAGATGTGCTTGCCTCTGCCTCCTAAGTGCTAGGATTAGAGATATGTGCCACCAGCTGTTTATGGCATTTTCTCTCTCTCTCTCTCTCTCTCTCTCTCTCTCTCTCTCTCTCTCTCTCTCTCTGTGTGTGTGTGTGTGTGTGTGTGTGTGTGTGTATTTATTTCTTTATTATGTATACAATATTCTGTCTGCATGTATGCCTGGAGGGCACCAGACCTCATTACAGATGGTTGTGAGCCACCATGTGGTTGCTGGGAATTGAACTCAGGACCTTTGGAAGAGCAGGCAATTGCTCTTAACCGCTGAGCCATCTCTCCAGCCCTCTTTCTTTTTTTAGAGACAGGATTTCTCTGTGTAACAGCTCTGGCTGTCCTGGAATTATATGAGCTGGGATTAAAGCCATGCACCACCACGCCTGGCGTTCCTAGCATTTTCATTTAGAATGTTTACAAGTGCTGCAGACCAGAGTAGCATTGTCTTAAAGAGGCCTCTCAGAGGGCTGGAGAGATGGTTCAGTGGTTAAGAGCAATTGCCTGCTCTTTCAAAGGTCCTGAGTTCAATTCCCAGCAACCACTTGGTGGCTCACAACCATCTGTAATGAGGTCTGGTGCCCTCTTCTGGCCTGCAGACATATACACAGACAGACTATTGTATACATAATAAATAAATAAATTTTTTTTAAAACAAAATATCTTTGGGGGGGGGGGAAGAGGCCCCTCAGAGAGAGTGTCTTCAGTATGACCATCCCCAAAGACTCTGAATACTCAGATATAAAATTCAGTATTAACTCCTAGATTTGTCAACTCTTCATTAAAAAAAAGAAAAGGGTTTTTAAAAACCAAGCAGTGATCTGTGTAAAGACTCACCTGGACTCACCATGCAGACCAGACTAGGCCAGACCTGCTCCTGCAGCCCCTGCCTTGGTCTCTCAAGCACTAGGCTTACCAACATAAGCCATCACCCCCACAGTTTTGTTACTGGTATTGTAAAAGCAGACTGCTAATGTCTGGCCTCTTTCCTCCAACAGTAAATGCTAACAACCATATTGAAGAAGGAGAAAATAATCTATAGTTTGTTAAATTCCATGTGTCAATGTTTCCACCACACTCAGCAGCAACGACACTGCATCTACTCCATGTAAGGGTCAGGTCCCATGAGTCAGTCTGAGCCAGTTCAGCTCACCACTACTTACACCCAGGTAGTGTTAAAATATGTTCCTAGATATATTTCAAGGAAAAGTTAAAGTATTCCTAATGGCTTCTATCTGCATACATGTACAGTAAGATTTGAAGAATGTTTAAGGTGATCAAAAACCAAAAACGGATTAGAGTAAAACAAAGATTTTCATTATATACCCTTTTGCAAGCAGCCTGAACAATTTTTACCATGAGTGATTTTGCATAAAATTATGATTTTAACAAATTAATCATGTTATTAAATTTTCATTTGTACTACATTACTCTCCTTAATGACATCTTTTTCCCTGAACAGGTCTCACCAGATAAGCAACCCCAATTGAAGACTAGGTGAGGGAACCAAGTAAACAGACTGAGAAACACAGGTGGAGCTGGAGACACAGCTCAGGTTAGGAGCACTGGCTGTTCTTCCAGATGACCCAGGCTCAATCTCAGCACCCACATGGCAGCAAACAACTGTCTGTAACTATAGTTACGGAGGATCCAACACTCCACACAGACATACACGCAGGAAAAACATCAATACACATAAAATAAATAAATCTTTAAGAGAAACAAAATACAAGACTACTTCTTCTAAGTTAGCCTAACCAACAAAACTTTAGTTAAATACATGGCACTGACTATCCCCTACCCCCCCCCCACAAAAAAAACATCAAGAGTAATCATTCCACCTATAATTGCTTTTGTTAATTAATTAAACCAAGCAGGCTAAGCACACTCAGGCACCCTCGCAACAAGCCCACTCTGCGCCTTGAAGTCTCCCGTCCTCACAGTTTCCCATGGAAATCATCAGGATTTAATTAGAGCCTTAGAGAAAGGAAGCAGGAACAGCAACAACAGAGTGCTCCAGACAATCTGCAGAAGCTACAGGTCAATAAAGGTCACCCCTAGCAACAAGGCTTTGTCTCAAATTTGCAATGTGTCACAGGCCAGACTCCTTAGAGTCCACAGACAGCTCTGGACACCCACAATCAAGAAGTTTGTTCTCGGTCTTAAGTGAAAACTGCGATCTTGTTTAGCTTGACTTCCTTTCAATGCTTCTTGTCAGAAACACAAGGAAATGAAATTTGTGGTTAGACTGATGTTTCTTCCTCCTGCTATGCCAGGAAGTAGCATTAAAGCTCTATCATGTGGTTGCCCATCAGGACACAGGAAGCCAGAACCTTACAACTCAATGTCTAGTGAGCGCAGAGAGGGAGCCAAGGCTTAGTCACAGAGACTGGCACTGCAGCAAGGTCAGATCAGAGGACACTTACTGGGTCTTTTCACTGTGTAACATACACATGATAAATATGTATGGACGGCACTCACAGCAGAGATATAATGTACACAGAAGACTGGGGGGATATCTATTTCACTCTTTTTCTTTTTTATTTATTTTTATTTTGTGTGCCTGGGTGTTTTGCCTGCATGTGTGTCTGTGTGAGGGTGTCAGGTCTTGGAGTTACAGACAGTTGTGAGCTGCCACGTGGGTTCTGGGAATTGAACCCGGTCCTTTGGAAGAGCCGCCAGTGCTCTTAACCACTGAGCCATCTCTCCAGCCCCTCCACTCATTTTCTTCCTGCTCTCCAATGTCTAAAAATTTTCCATCTTCAAGCCTGGTATGATGGCAAACACCTGTAACCTACTTTTTTTTCTTTTTTTCAAAGCAGAGGACCAAACCCAGGGCCTTGTGCATACTAGGCAAGCGCTCTACCACTGAGCTAAATCCCCAACCCCTGTAATCCACTTCCTGGAGGCAGAAGCAGGAGAAAGATCAGGAGCTGAAGCCATCCCCAGTTACACAGTAAGTAAAGGTTACACGAGACAGGCTCAATAACAAATCAAAGAAGGCTCAATGATGGGGAGATGACTCAGAGGTTAACATGTTTCTATGTAAGCATGAGACCTGAGTTCAGATTTCTAGCACCCATACAAGAGATGGGCGTGGCAGCACGGAATTATGATGCCAGGGAGTAAGACAGGAGCTATCTGGGGCTTGCTGCCCAACCAGTCCAGCTATAACTCTGCAAACTCCAGGTTCAGTGAGACCCCATCTCAAAAACCAAAAGATGAAGAGTAACAGAGACAGACAACTGATATCAACCTCCCTTGTCTGCCAATACAGAGAGAGAGAGAGAGAGAGAGAGACTGACTTTTGTTCGGGGTAAATGTAAAGACAAGCATTAAGCACAAAGGAGGGCCCTATCATAGTGACCTATCACTATAACCCCAGCATGTGGGAAGCTGAACAGGAGGAGCATGAGTTTCAAACCAGCTGCAGTTTTGGGAACCTGCCTCCAAAACAAGCAAGCAATGAAATAATGAGAGGGAAAAAAGGGAAGGAAGGAGGGGAAGCAGGAAGGAGAAAGTGAGAGAGGAAGAAAGAAAGGAAAGAAGGACTATTACCATGGGTGAAAAATAAGAATTTACAAGCATCCTTAATTAAAAGGTTTAGATTTAAAAGTTTAATCTCTAGCACCACATAAATCCTGCACTGGAGAAACCAAGACAGAAAGATCAAAAAGATCAAGGTCATCTTTGGCTGCACAGCAAATCTGAGACTAGTCTGGGCTACATGAGACCCTGTCTCAGGAAAAAAAAAAAATGAAAGACTAAAGATTTTTAAAATATGAACATGCGCAACAAGTAGTTTTCCACTAATGTACATTAACTTATCAAAATACAGAAGAGAGAATTAAAGCCATAATTTTCAAGTTGATCTACAGTGCAAACGACAGCAGCTTAAAGTATGAATTACTGTGACATGTTACAATCAGAAGTCACAGTACACCTAAGGCCAGGAAACAGCCCATCTTTTCTAGTATATTCTTCAGTCAATACTAATGAAGACCAGCAACATTAATTTACAAAATCACATTACAAGACTTAGAGAGATAAATGGCTTCAAGGTTAAGAACATGCAAAGGAACCAAGTTCAGTTCCTGGAACTTGGAACCCAAGCAGGGCAGCTCCAGTCCCGAGGGATCTGATGCTCTCTTCTAGCTTCGGCAGACGCTGTACTCATAAGCACACACACAGAGACAGTTCTAAAAATGATAATAAAATTATTTTTTTAAAATCTTGTTACTCAAAGAAATGATACAAATTGGAGCATGAATACCTTCTAAAGAGAATACTCATTATTTTTATTAGAGTCTGGTACAGAAATTACAAAAACGTAAAAAACAAAACAACTATGACATTTAGCAAGTATCTACTAGAAGATTAAAAGATACAATTCGCCACTTGACTTGGCCTATATAAGCCACTAACTAAATGGCTCAAGTGCCATTTAAAGCTGAGTGAGTGCAGACACAGACGCACTGACCCAGCCCAGTACAAGTACGAATAGTGTCAGGGCACACCAGAGTGCAATAAGGGCTATATTAAGATAAGATTAACCAAGATGATACTATATATGGTTAATTGTATTATTTTAAATTCTAGATGACTAAAAAACACTAGGCTGTGTTTAGTTGCTCATAACATAAAACCAAAAATGCCAATAGATAGTCATTCTGAGAAGAGTTGGCCTGTCCACACTTACCGTTTTCCACATACGGATGGAAGGGCAAAACTAAGGCAAGAATGACCCTGCCTTGGGTGGGCTCCAGGACACTTCTGATATCTTTTAACAGTGTCAGAGGCTGATCACAACGATCCAGCAGATTTAAGCAGCTGATGACATCATACTGGAACCCTGTATTCTGCCATTCATTTATACCCAGCACTCTGGAAAAAAAAAAAAATCAAAAAGAACTTGGTTATTATTTCTCTGATTTAAAGCTAGCTTTAAAAATAACTATAAGCAGAGAGTAGCAGGATACACCAAGAAAACCTCTCACTTAATCTACCTCAAAACCAGCTGCAGGTAAGTAGTTTCTGTGTTGGGAATTCTAGAAAACAGAAATACACTCTCTGAACCAAAACTTAAAGAGCTTTATGCTAGGACAGTTATACTTATGCTGACAGCAGATCAATCTCATCCTTACTTCATTTTTTAAAATCCTATTTGTAAACTCAGTTCCATTCTTTAAGATATATTAGTAGCTGTCCTCAAATGTTCTCCAAATGTTCAACCTGGTCCTGCTCCACCAAAGCTGCGAAGATGCTATGACTAGGGTTAGCCTAAATTAAAACACGTGACAGGAAAGTAAATGGAGACATAATTTCTGTCCAAGGCCTCCAAATATTACAGAGGCAGGTGCCACCTCCACACTGTGTAAGCAGTCAATACACAGAAGTCTCTGACATTTTATTCAGAAGTCTCTGAACCCACAGACTTCATATCTAATAAATACTCTTCCTAAGTCTCTCAAGCACCAGGCAGTTTACAAACTGAACTTGACACTTTATACCCATCATTACTGTCAGCTGTTTGGGTAGGAGGTGGGGGTCCAACTTCTGTCAGAGACATGAAGAAATTAGTGCAGATGTAATTGGTATAGGTGCTATGGAAAAGACAGTGCATTCTCAAAAAATCGCACAAAGACTTAGAGGGCAGAGAGATGGCTCAGAAGTTTGGAGCACTTGGTGATTTGTAGAGGACCTGGGTTTGATTCCAAGAACCCACATGGAGGCTCACAATCATCTGAAACTCCAGTTGTAGAGAATCCCAACACCCTCTTCTGGCCTTCGTGAGCACCAGTTGTGCACATGGTATACAGACATACGTGCAGATAAAGTATTATACACATAAAACGTATTTTAAAAAATTAAAAACCATAGACTTAACATGTGATCTAGCAATTCCACTTTTAGATACCTAAGGGGGGGAGGACTTAGACATTTATATTACTCATTCATGTATTACTCACAATGGCTGTGGTGGTTTGAATGAGAATGGCCCCCAATAGGCTCATATATTTGAATACTTGGTCCCCAATTGGTGAACTGTTCGGGAAGGACTAGGAGGTGTGGTCCTGTTTAAGGTGGTCACTGGGGGTAGAATCTGAGGCTTCTCAATGCTCACACCATTCCCCGTTCTCTCTCTCTGCTTCATAGGTGTTATCTCAACACGTGAGCTCTCAGCTCCTGCTCCAGTGTCATGCCCACCAGGAAGGTCGCAGACTCACCCTATGAACCTGTAAGCCCAATAAACTCTGTTTTGTGTAAGTTGCCTTGGTCACCGTCTCTTAGTACAGCAACAAAAAGTAACTAAGACAAATGTTAGAAGCAACCCAAACGTCCATAAAATAGTGCGGAGTAACTGTACAATTGTGCTATTCAGTACTAAGAAACCTGAAATACAAGCTACAACATAGATGGACCACCAAAACAACAACCAAATGAAATAAGCCAAAGGGCTTTCATGGGTCCTCCTATGATCCCTCCGAGATAAAGTGCATGGAATAGTCAAATTCATGCAAAGCAGAAAGGTTATTATGAACTGGAAAGAGGGACGAAACAGAGACGACTATTTGAGAGTGTCGGTTGGGAAGATGAAAAAGCTATGAGGATGGATGATACAAATGAACCACTCACTGACCTAATTAGAAACTGAAAAATGATTAAAATGATACATCTTACATTACATATTATTTTTTACCAAAAAGAAAAAAAAAAGTTTAAAGCATACAAAATATCTGGACCAGATCCGACCTAGAGGACAGGTCCTCATCTGTGGCTGCCTGCTCCAAGCTGTCTCTCACTCTTGCTATGTTCCCTGTGATGACAAGTCCTCTGCTTCAGAAAAATGCTGCCATGGAAAATTCCTTTTCTCTGGTTTCCCAATGATTCGTGTTTAATTCTTAACCATGGAAAACTGTTCCTGATTCTTATCACTAGGATATGTACAGAGGTAAAGTGCTGGCCTAGCAAGCTAAGACCCTGTGTCCAATCCCCAGTGAAACACACACACACACACACACACACACACACACACACGTATGTAAACACACATACATACACTTTAAAGTAGAAATCCATCTAAAACCAAGATATACCCAATACCCCTGGCACACCTCTAGAACTGGTACCTATAAGCAATGTACCCAGTACCCCCAAGCACACCTCTAGAACTGGTACCTGTATTTCTTCTTCTGGAGCTGCCAGATCATCGTTTCAGAAAGTTCAGTGGCATAAATTTCTTCAAAATGAGGGCTCATGATTTTTGTGACTTCTCCATCTCCAGCACCTAAGTCAAGAAGTCTATGAGTTTTCCAGTCCGGATTAATTTTAAGCAGTCTCTGAAACTGATCTGGTGAAAACACAAACATCGAGCCTCTTCCTAGCAACCTGGGGAAAAAGGGTAAGAGTTGAAGTCTATACATATTAATACTTCTAAGTATACACAGAGCAAAATGCACCAAAAATTCTGACTTTGTGAAATTGTTATATGATTAAAATATAGTTTATCTTCTATGACTAAAAAGCAAATTCACTAACATATCATGTAACGATATCATGATTTTCAGTTGGAAATGATATTCCAAAATGCATGGTAAGGAGAAGTACAGAAGAAATGAAATAACGGAAGTGCTAACTGAAGTCAAAATAGGAAGAAAAGAAGAAAGAAAAGGCAGAGATGCCAGGCCAGTGGAGTCAGACCGCAGTACTAGGCAGGAGTCAAGCATGCCTTCTAGGATGATAGACTCAACAATGGGTGATAGGAAAAAAGAAATAGCTTTATATAAAAGATACACTAAAAATACAACCATTTTAAAAGAGGAAAAGAGCAACCCTTTCAAGATCAGCCAACTGGCATTAAGGAAGTGGATCCATATTCAGGTAGGTTGTTTTACAATTAGCTGAGACCTATAATTTATTAAAGGTCCTAAAAAAAAAACTTCAGACTGATAGTACTGACTGAAAAGATAAACTAAAAAGAGACTGACAGAAGTGGAGAGCGAAGGAGCCTGCAGAGAAGCAGGGCAGCTCAGGCCTCACAGACATGCACTCCCTACTCCCTTCTTGTTCTTAAATCCTGGTTGGTCTGAGGCAAAATATCTCCAACTTCCTTTAAACAAAACAACCTTTTCTTCAAATGAAACTCAGACTTACAAAATCTAAGGAGCTATTACTGCTGCAACAAGGCTAAAAGCCTGCAACTGCCAGCAGCCCACTTTTAAGATTTTCTCTGCAACCTGAAGCAGCTTGATGCAGCTCCTCCTCAGATCAGGAAAAACACTGGTACCAGAAGCAGAGAAATCTGCATCACTTTGTCACTTTCTGGAAATAATCAGAATGTATACTAAGGTTTATTGTTCAATGACTGTGAAAATGCACACAACACAGTGCTTGCAGTAAGACCAGCTTCAAGAACAGTAATAAAAATGGAGCTGATGTAATAAATTCTTTCTCTTCTTTTGCCATTAAACCATAAGAGAGTTAAACAAAATTCAATAATATATTTACAGTAAATCTTCTGTCTCACATAAATGCTGAAAGACTAGGAAGCAGGAACCAAGAAGACCCCAGAGACCGCAAGCATGTTGTTGAGAACATTTTAGCAAAGAAAGTCATATCTCATAAGAGACATAACTAATCCCCACTGTTTTCATTGCTGGAGGAAAACAAGCACATGTGAGAAAAGGGCTAAACTCGCTGTGCAAAATCCACGCAGGATCCAGTCAGGCGATGGGCTCCAGGCAGCCGATGCTGACTTCATGCCACAGAACCAAAATAAGTCACAAAGTAGTTTGCCTAAAATTTTCCCAGCTATAAAACGTGTTCCCAAGCCATCTCCCTGGGATGTGAAGGAGCCTGTCATGTTACTATAAAATTATAGGGCCAGAGATCATCTGAGGTCAGAGCTCACAAAATTAATGCACGAAAGTCTACATTTAAAGGCACCAAAAAGAAATGAGGGAAAAACTACCCTATGTTTGCAAAGAACATGAGCAAAGGGAGCTCCATAAAAAAGAGTGCCAAAAAGAGTCAACTAACTCTACCCTTCGAGAAGTTCAGCATGACCTAAGAAGCTAAATGCCCTACACTGTTTAGCAAGCGCAACAGAATTATCCAAGTACACATGGAGACACTGCACTAGTATGACATCAGGCCTCTGGGAAACACTGTGAAGAATGTTCTCCACTCTTTCCAGTCCTTTCTTCATAATCATCCTAGGTTCTCTAGCCAAGTCTCTCTAGACATAAGTCTACAGAGGAGCTGTGTTTCTTCCTTATAAAATAAACTGAAAACAAGCTGGGCATGGTGGTGCACACCTTTAATTTCAGCACTTGGGGGCAGGAGGCAGGCAGGTCTCTGTGAGTTCAAGGCCATTCTGGTTTACAGAGCTAGGTCCAGAACAGTCTAGGGCTACACTGAGAAACCACATCTTGAAAAACCAAAATAAATATAAATAAACTGAAAACAGCTATCAAGTTTCTCAAGGGATATAACTTAGTAGGAGATAAAAAGAGTCCTTGCCCAGTATCACCAATTTTTAAAAAAAAGAAAAGAAAATCTTTTAAACTGGGTGTGGAGGCACATATCTGTTATCCCAGCAGTCAGGAGGCAGAGGTAATAGGGCTGCCACAAGTTCAAGACCAGCCAGAGACACATAGCAAGACACTATGCAAAAACAAAACCAAACAACACAAACCAACTCTCTCTTTGCCTTCTTTCTATCATGAAGAACTTTGATAAGCATCTTGGTTCAAGAAGGTTTCACCATAACTATGTGGTTATTTCTATTGCAGAGAGTACCACTGTATGGTGGAAAATACCAGTGGGTTCAATCTGAGTTCTGAGTAGAGGACAAGAGACAAGTTTAACAAGGGGGTGGGGGCAGGGTGTGGCAGTGATGTGGCTCAGTAGGTAAAGGACCAAACCTGACTACTAAATTCAACCCCCTGCCCACACTGTGGGACAGAATCAAGTCCCACAATCTGTCCACTACCTCCACACTGGTATGCCCTGGCAATGCACATTCACATGCATTCAATGTGCATTCACACACAATAAACAATAGTAATAACTGTAGAATGAGCAAGGCAAACAGAACAGTATGTAACAGGGGTATAGCTCAGGAATACAGGAATTTGAGGCCAATCTGGGCAACTTACTAAGGCTACATAAAACAAAAGGGTAGAGGCAGAAGAGTTACAGTAATAGAAGACAATGGCATTTACCATTATGCTGCCTCTTTGGTCAAACTGTCAAATTCTCCAGTAAGGAATTTTAAGTGGGTTTCAACAGGTAGAAGAAAAAGGAAGTAATTTTAGTTTGAAATGTCCAGAAAGAAAGCACTGATGCAAGCACTTTCTTTAAAAGTTATTTCTTTATTTTATGTGCATTGGTGTTTTGCCTACAGGTATGTCTGTGTGAAGGTGTTGGATCCTCTGGAACTGGAGCTCCTTGTGGGTGCTGGAAACGGAGCCCAGGTCCTCTGGAAGAGCAGCCAAAGCTTTTAACTGCTAAGCCATCTCTCCAGCCCTAAAAGCACTTTTTAAAGAAAAGACTCCCACCTTTTTATCACTTTCAAAGAGTAAAGAACTCCTATAAAGGATTTCTGCATGCCAGAACGTGGTAGTGCTCACTTTTAATCCCAGCACTTGAGAGGCAGAGGCAGGCGGATCTCTGTGAGTTCGAGGTCAGTCTGGCCTACAAAGAGAGCAAAGTCCAGGACAGCCAGAGCCACACAAAGAAACTTTGTCTTGAAAAATAAAAAATTAGAAAAAAAAAAAAAAAGAATCTCTGCAATAGTGCCATGCTTGATTTGCAAAAAATAAAAAAAAAAAAAAAAAAAAACCGGAAGGCATAGGACAGAAAACCAATGTAAACAGTGTAACCAATTTTAGGACAAAATAGGCCAGGTTGTATAAACTCAACTCCCATACAAAATATTAAATGTTTGCTGAAGCAAACATAAACCAAGTTCACATAAACAAGGGAAAAAATTAAGCAAGAAGAAACCCTGACGGATGGCTTGTGAGCCTGAAAACATATTTTGGAACTGGAGATGATAGACTGGAGATCCGGACATTTAGCAGAAATTTGATCTAAACCTCAAGGGAAAAAGAAAAGCATCATAGCCGATTGCCAAAATTTGGCTTTCTTCATTGTAAGGCCTTGGGCACGTTTAAAAATCTAACTAAGAAGTGATAAATTATATTTATGAAATCTTTTCTGTAGATATTTATGAAGGAACCAAACTTCCTGGTAAACCTACACATTATGTAAGGACAAATGCCAGATCCTTTAAATAGCTGTTGCCTACTGTTGGGCTGGATAGTCAGATCTCCTCAAAAATTTGTCTGTGGGATGTGGGCTTACGGCCTTCAGTTCTTCCTTCTGCCTACAGTTAGCAGAAGTTTGTTAAAAACACAGACCCTCAGTTGGGTGAAGTGGTACATGTCTTTAACCCCAGAACTTGTGGAGGCAGAGGCAGGAGAAGCTCTGTGAGTTTGAGGTCAGCCTGGTCTACAGAGCGAGGTCCCGGACAGCTAGGACTGTTACACAGAGAAATTGTCTAAAAATAAAAAGAAGATGAAGAAAAAAAAAAACCAAAACAGAAAATATAGACTCTCAGAAGCAACCAACTCATAACCTACCTTTTAACACCATCTCCTGGTGGTTCCTATATTCATCAGAGCAAGAAATGAACTGAAGTCTCCCACCATAGAAATACAGGCTAATAAAGCTATTTGCACAATTACGATGAATTTTAAAAATCTAGGTACACAAGGCTTCAATAGCAATTTTGACAAGCAGGAGTGTTGTGGTTAAGGTAGTATCTAGAACAAGGTAACTTCCCTCTTTCCTTTTTTAAGCCTGAGAATAAAAAGGATGGAAATTCTAATATTCACTTACCCGTTGATAGATGTTCTAGACATAAACAGGCTAAAAACAGATGATACAAAAGAATGATAGAGTTGGATAAATAGCCAGCCAGATTTCTCAATGCTGTTGTTTAAGAAGATCTGTGTTCCTTGATCAAGATAACTCTGAACAAAGACAGACTGAAGGGATTCACATAACTTCTCTCTGTTGCACACATACCACTAGGGGGGGAAAAAAAAAACAAGATTAAACACAGTTGATGTAATGCCTAAGAAATCTAAAAAAAAACAAACAAACAAACAAAAAAAACCCCAGAAGCCTAAAATCTAATCTAACATCTTCAAATACAATCTCATGACTCTGAGGGCAACCATCAATCATCTTTCCTGCCCACATGACCCACAAAGTTCAGGTGACCTCTCACTTCACTCTCATCACCCAGCCTGCTGGGTAGAGAGGAAGGTAAGAGGGTTTCCAGGTCATGCAGCACAGTAGCTGGCAGAACCAGGTCATCGAACCCTAACCCAAGGCTTCAGTCACAAAACAGTCAAGTCAGAAAACCGTCCTTGGCCGAGACTGACTCAGCATCACAGGCGGATGGCTAGCAGCAGTGTTTAAGTGAAGCACTGTATAATCCAGAGATGGACCTCGAATCTGCCACCCTAATCAGCAGCAGAGTGAACAACAACTAGTTCTCTGGAAAACAGATCAGCTGGCCTTCTTCAGAGACCTCTGGACATCCTGGGGTGTGCTTTAGCAATATGCCCGCCTCAACTCTCATGAGCTCAAGAAAGCTCAAGAAGTTACTTGAGTTCATTCTGCAATTAAGAAGACCAAGTGATTACACACTAAGAAAAGACTTCTAAGAATAGGTTCTAGCGCCGAACGATGGTGGCACATGCCTTTAATCCCAGCACTAGCGAGGCAGAGGCAGGCGCATCTCTGTGAGTTCGAGGCCAGCCTGGTCTACAAGAGCTAGATCCAGGACAGGCTCCAAAGCTACAGAGAAACCCTGTCTTGGGAAAAAAAAAAAACAGGTTCTATCCAGATAATATTTTTTAAAAACAAAATTTCCACAACTACAGAGAAAGTTAACCTTCAAAGGTTAGACACATGGCTGTGTTTAAAGGACCCAGATTCAGTTTTCTAGCACCCACACGGCAGCTCACAACCATCTGTGACTCCAGTTTTCGGGAATCTAATGCTCTCTTCTAGCCTCCCCAGGCATAGTATGCACATGGTGCACATATATACATGCAGGCAAAACACCCACAGGCACGAAAGTATCTTTATATGTTTATTTAGCAAGCCTTCCAAAACAAATGCTGCCCATCTCCCTAGAGTTAGTGTAGCAGGAAAGTGGGAAAGGAGGTTGCACAGCAGCTTCAGTGTAGACCTATGTGAGCTCAGACAGTGACTCTCCTTAGCTCACAAGTGTGATGCCACGGTATCTATCCTGGAGGACAGACAGCCTACTATGAAGATTAAATACAATGCGGACAAGTCAGTACAGCACAAGGCAGCTGTAGTGATTCCTCTAATACAGACACCCTCAAGTCCCTTATACACAGTGGGAAAACTGCAGACGGTTACTTTTAGTGCGTTATTTATTAGGAAACTACTAATTTTTCCAAATAAGGAGTCTATTAGCCCAAAGTGACTTGCTTAACCTTGACAAATCTGACCACTTACTAGCAATAAGAGTCCCATAACTTCCTGCACCATTAGTGGAGCAATTTTACAGTCATCCTACACTTAGTAAATGCTGAGTGCAATCAGTCTTTCTGACACTAACATTAAAAGAAACCAAATGGAAGCCAACAAAAACATGCAAAAGGTCACAGTAAATGTCAGTGATTCATCCTTCATACACTCTACACACTCCAAAGTTTCTCGCTCTTGACTACTTTGTACTAACTTGCTATTTAACCACTGCTAACAAAACTTCCTAGACTTTACCTAAAACTCCTTGTTGTCTCTGCTATAGTGACAAGCTATAAAATGGCTTGAAATTCACAGCCTACACTTCTCTCCTTGGTCTGGAAATGTTCTTGCTTAATCATTTACTATTTACTAATCCTTAAAACTTACTGAGCCTGAAGCTATGCCCCAGTACAGCTCATAAACCATTTTTATTATACTCATGACCTTGTGCACATTCTGAACTCTACAACTGAGTTACTCTGACTTGTATTTATTTTTTACTCTGAAATGGCTAATCAAGTTGAAACACAGCACCTTGCTAACAGGCAATCAGGAGCATTCTGTTAATGTGGGCAAGAAGTCATCCAACTGAAAACCAGGAGCTAAGGATTTCTTGGCATCCATTTGTAAATGGACAACAAGAGTAACAATGGATTCTGACTTTCAGAAGAAGTGGCATCATTAACTGCTACTATTGCTTTCAAGCACCACGAAAAAAAAATCTCAAATTTTAATAGCATATTTCTCCATTCATAAATACTAACATGCATTTGGACCATTACTGCCACAAAAGTTTTCTTAGAAAAAAAAAAAACTATGGTGTTTTGATCCAGGCTCATATATTTGAATGCTTAGTCACCAGAGAGCAAGCGAGTGGCACTATTTTAAAGGGGGAGAGGGGTAATTAGGAGGTGTGGCCTTGCTGAAGGAAGTGTGGCACTACAGGTGGGCTTTGAGGTTTTTAAAGTCCATGCCAAGCTTACAGTCCCTCTTCTCAGCCTGCAGACCAGGATGCAGTTCTCAGCTACCACTCGAGCACCTGCCTGCCACCATGTTTCCTGACATGATGATAATGGATTATGGGAAAATACTACAAACTTTAAATTTTTTGTGCAGACTGTGAAGATACCTCAGTTAATAAGATGCTTGTTTTTCAAACATGAGGGCCTGAGTTCAATGCCCAGAACCCATAAATTCTGAAATTCTAAGTAAGCCTTCAATTAAATATTTTCTTTCCTAAGAGTTGCCTTTGTCGCGGAGCCTCTTCACAGCAATGGAGTGACAGATGGTGTTTAGTAAATGGAATATGCTGCAAAATAAAAAGGAGTAAAGCTCTTCTCTGTGAAGGTTTCCATGTCCCTCCGGGCCAGTGATGTGATACAAGCCTCACGTCCACAACAGCACCAGCCGCCATTACCAAAGAGCAGAAACAACTCAACTGCCCGTTAACTGATGAGTAAGAAAGTATAAGGGACGCACACAAGGGAACAGTGTTCAGGCATAAAAAGAATAAAGTACAGGCTCGTGCTCCAGAAAATGCACCTTGACAACACATTAAGTAAAATAAACCAGTCACAAGAGGTCACAAACTGTATAGTTCAGCATATTCTATGATATAGAAATCCAGAGACAAAAAGCAGATTCTGTGGCCCAGGCTTTGGGCAAAGAGATAGTAGATACTAGGAACAGGCTTATTAATGGGCATAAAGTTTCTTTTGGAGGTAGTAAAAAAATTTCAAAATTAGGTATTAGTGATGGTTGCACAGCTCTAAAAATACTAGAAACTATTAAATTATATATTTTAAATTTTCTTGTGAACTGCAAAGATAACTCAGTTGATAAGGTGGTTGCCTTACACACATGAGGGCCTGAGCTCAATGCCCAGAACCCAGGTAAATAAAGAAGCCAGGCATGTGGTGTTAAATTTATAATCCAGTGCTGGGAAGGTAGGGACAGATAAAAGTCCTAAGGCTTGCTAGGTGGTCAGCCTCGCCCTGCATATCTGGCCAGTGATAGACCATCTCAAAGAGAACAAAATGGACAACACCTGAGGACGACACCCAAGGTTATTGAGTGCCATTTACACTCACAAACATGAATACATATATATTCACACTATTTTCACAGCAAACACACCTACATGTAAGTAGGCAGTTTGATCCTATAGAAATTAAGCAATCAGGAAACACATATGACCTAGTAAACTTCTTAGCATGTAAAATGCAATAATACATAACCGTAATAACAGTCCAAGTGCTCACCATGGTCTCCAAGGCCTTACAAGATTACTGTTCTTTCTTGATCACAGCCTCAACGCACAACATATGCTACCATTATGCTGGGCTCCTCTCTTCTAAAGGTTCCCTTCCCACAGAGATTCCACATAACATTTGTCACTGCCCACTGTGCTCCCTCCTGGTCAATGCAGCCCAACTTGATTTCCCTAAACTTCTAGAATAACTTAAGAGTTCCCTGTACTAATCCCCTCTCATACATCCCATGTGTCTCCCTGGCAATACGTATGCCAGCTGAATAGTGACTGTACACAATTGCATGTTTAACACCTATCCTCACAGACTAAGATTCATAAAGACCTGGGAGAATAGCTGACTTCAAAGGAAGACAGAGACAAATGATTTATTAGCCTCTGGCTCTCAAAACAATTACTTCTAAGACTCATAGGAAGTCTAAACAGGTAGAATCTGGTATCTTTAACAAACTCATGGAGAAAACAAGGATAACTACAGAGACCTGTTACTGAGTTGTCAGTTGCTCAAAATCCACGGTTTCTACAAGACTTTACTTAACCCTATCTTTGTAAACAGTTGTTAAGAGTTATCTACCTACCTACCACAAAACTGCATTATCACACACAAGCAAATATGGAAGACAGACAGTAAGCACCCACAGGTGCCAAGCACCTGGCAAATCTTTATGTTGCAATTACACCATATAACTTTTCATTTTGTTTTGTTTGTTTGTTTGAATGGTGTCTTACCCTGTAGTGACCTTTTTTGTTTTAACAAATAAAGCTTTGAGCTAAGTCACTAGAGGCCAGGGAGTGGTGGCACACACCTTTAATCCCAGGACTCAGGAGACAGAGGGATCTCTTAGTTCAAGGTTATACTGGGCTACACTGACCCAGTTTAAAAGAGAAACAGAGATAACACAAAGGGGATCCCAGCACTTGGGATCCCACACCTTTAAACTCAGCACTACGGAGTTGGAGATAGGAGTAATGTGGCTGGGCAGAGAGAGTTATATAAGGTGGGAGGAGACAGGAGCTCAGTGCAGTCAGAGGCAACAATCTGAAGCAGTCAGTCTGAGGATGCAGACTGAGGATAGGGTCGCCCTTTTGGTATGAGAATTCGGTAGAGGTAAAAGGTGTCTCTAGTGATTGGCTGCACTGCTTCTCTGATCTCCTAGCTTTCACCCCTAATATCTGACTCCAGATTTTTATTAAGAACAATTAGAACTTGTGTAACATACCCTGTAGCACAGGTTGGTCTAGAGCTCA